CTATACAGGGGATATTTGTCTTTGATTTGTCTTTGTAGAACAATACATCAATGGCATTATTTTACGTGGATGGGATGTACATATATTGTATCATGGATAATGAGAGTGATTGCAAAATACTTGTGCAACACAATAGCTAATTAAACGTCAACAGCTTGGGCAGGCCTGAGTAAGCTGTAATTGTTTACCCAGATTCACTGCATTGTTAGGTCCAAAGATCTCACTGCATGGTGAAGTCTTGAACGAGGGCACCCAGAAAGAAGGTTTGTAGGGTAGGGAACACGTTTCTTGAGTAACATTAGCTCTGCCAGAAAAGAGGTTTGTAGGGTAGGAAACACGTGTCTTGAATAACATTAGCTCAACCAGAAAAGAGGTTTGTAGGGTAGGGAACACGTTTCTTGAGTAACATTAGCTCAGCCAGAAAAGAGGTTTGTAGGGTAAGAAACACGTGTCTTGAATAACATTAGCTCAGCCAGAAAAGAGGGTTGAAGGGTAGAGAACACGTGTCTTGAGTAACATTAGCTTCAACGACAGCGGTGTGTGGCAGGTGTGGGGACTCAACAATGACATTTCATACACCAAGAAATGTGGACGTGTACACAAACTCGTGTGTGTGTGTAAACATTGCAAGGTGCCCAGTGTCATTATTCGCATGGTAAAGGGATCCATCGCTATGTTTCTGCACGACGTGTATAAAACGCAAGCTTTTAATCGCTCGTCGCAAAAAGTAACCCGTATTTTAGTTGGCATTAACGTGATGCTTATTAAAAAATGGTAAAATTGAGATATTTAGTGTCTATAAATCAGTAGAATTACATTTTTATTTGGTCCACTCATTCATCCACTTTTTTTTCTCATATTGCCACCTTGACTGTAAATAAAAAAAATGAAACTTGTTCCATTTATTTTAGTTCATGCAGATCTATGTGAAATTATTGCGTTGAAGAAACATCCCGGGCTGCCAGTTGGACATGTAGTTACAAGATTAAGTTGCCAACGTGGCATTGTCGTTCAACAAAAAAACGTGAATGAATGATTAATTAGGTCACAGGGATTATACAAATTTGGGAGTATATTTACAAACATTACAACCCCACGCATCCTATAACCAAATCCCTACATTTGTCGAAATGTCTATTGAACAAGATTACCGACTGCACAGCTATGGAAGATCTATTTTTTTTACTTTTTGTGAATATTCTCATAGTTCTCTTGCATACAACAACAAACTTTAATTTCTACGGGGATGAATCTAGAAACCAAACGTCTGCATAGCGTTGTTCACTTGAGCTGCATAAAACGCCCCACCGATGTGTTTCTGGGTCATGTTACGTTTTATTCGAAATTGTGTCCCCACGTGTACGCCCCACATGTTACGTGGGTTCAGGGTACTATCCTTCTCCAGTCTAATCCACGGTACAGTCATGGTACTATCCTTCCCCAGTCTAACCCACACTACAGTCATGGTACTATCCTTCCCCAGTCTAACCCACGGTACAGTCATGGTACTATATTTCCCCAGTCTAACCCACACTACAGTCATGGTACTATCCTTCCCCAGTCTCACCCACGGTACAGTCATGGTACTATCCTTCCCCAGTCTCACCCACGGTACAGTCATGGTGCTATCCTTCCCCAGTCTAACCCACGATACAGTCATGGTACTATACTTCCCCAGTCTCACCCACGGTACAGTCATGGTACTATACTTCCCCAGTCTAACCCACAGTACAGTCATGGTACTATCCTTCCCCAGTCTAACCCACGATACAGTCATGGTACTATCCTTCCCCAGTCTCACCCACGGTACAGTCATGGTACTATCCTTCCCCAGTCTAACCCACGATACAGTCATGGTACTATACTTCCCCAGTCTCACCCACAGTACAGTCATGGTACTATACTTCCCCAGTCTAACCCACAGTACAGTCATGGTACAATCCTTCCCCAGTCTAACAGTACAGTCATGGTACTATACTTCCCCAGTCTCACCCACGGTACAGACATGGTACTATCCTTCCCCAGTCTAACCCACAGTACAGCCATGGTACTATCCTTCCCCAGTCTAACCCACGGTACAGTCATGGTACTATCCTTCCGCAGTCTCACCCACAGTACAGTCATGGTACTATCCTTCCCCAGTCTAACCCACAGTACAGCCATGGTACTATCCTTCCCCAGTCTAACCCACACTACAGTCATGGTACTATCCTTCCCCAGTCTAACCCACAGTACAGCCATGGTACTATCCTTCCCCAGTCTAACCCACACTACAGTCATGGTACTATCCTTCCCCAGTCTAACCCACACTACAGTCATGGTACTATCCTTCCCCAGTCTCACCCACGGTACAGAGTAATCAATAGCTGGCCACGCCACGACCAAGCATATTTCAAACAATCACCCCCTGCTGAAAGACCGATTTGTTTCCAGAGGAAAAATAATCAATACGACGACAAGTGCTGCGTTTTTTGTCCCGCTGTTCGCTGCAAATGAAAAAAATATGAGGTAAACGGAGAGAGAGAGAGTGGTGTATGACTTAAACAAGGGAGTCGAAAATACCACGGCAGGCGAGGCGGAGGATACAAAAAAGTAAACAAACGGAATTAAGAGAAATTGCACAAGAACATCCGATGACCACAGTCATCACCCGCAGTGCACCCCAATCATCGTCAAATCTCGGAAGCCAAAGCAGCATCGAGGCTGGGTGCTCGTGCCAGCACGGGTGATCGTCATGCATAAACCAGGTGTTATAGTCTGTGGGAGGCTACGCGGTGGCCAGCAGCAGCAGAGCAGAGAAGCAAGGTGAATTGTTGTTGTGTACTTCAGTGTGAATGTCACCCCGCCTTCACAGAGCCACAGTGAATGAAGAATGGCCAAATAACCCCGCCATGATCCGCACAATGGGGGGGAGGCTGTCGCATCCAGCAGTGGATCAATAAAGGGCTGTGCAAAACACTGCACGGCAAAATAGCTACACAATTCAAGGGATTTTCTGTCGAAATCATTTCCAAATGATACTTCGTATAAACAAAAGGTAAAAATTGGTAAAAAATGACCAACAAAATCTCCCCATTCACATAAGCGTACGTGCAATACGGCATTGACGTTGAAACGATGAAGGTTTTATTATTATTATAAATGAGAAATCGCTGACATTTCCCCACCTCCTCACCAACAAATGGCACTCATAAGAGTTTTTTTTCAACGGTTTTACTTAACTTAACTCGATTCCTGTCGTGGTCAAATCTTGTAATCAAAACTTAGTCTACTTCCTGCTGTCAAATCAATTCCACATTTTGCACACGTACTCAGATCCGGTGACAATGCGTGGCTGCATCAAATAATCAATTTATTCGCTACTTAAAGCAATTTTCATTTTGTATGGACTGCCTTATTATTTATATATATATTTGTGTAGATCAAAAACGCCGTGGGCCCTAAACGCTCGAATCGCCTCGCCCAAGAAGCAGGCGCCACGTGTCTCAGGCTCCACGTGTCTCAGGCGCGCCTGCTCCGTGTCAACGAGTTACGGGCACCCTCATTCCACACAAACAAAAGTTGCACATTGAAGATTCATTCATAAAGTAATCAATTAATTCAAGTAAGCGTTGATGTGGGAGCAGGCGCCGCATCATTGACGTACTTCTCGACCGTGAGTTAAACGAAGTTGTGAATAAAACCGTTTTTTTTTTACTTTTTTGAAGGAGTTTTTTACGTAATACCAAAACAGGATTTCTCAACAATTCTGACTGTGGCTTGATGATGCTGTTTGTAATTACCAGTGAAACGTCGTACTTAAGTTGTAAATGTTGTGGGTTTACTCTCTAACACGGTGTGCTGAACTAGTCACGAATTGGCAAGTTGTGTTTACGTGACAAAACTTACTAATTGGCTGTGTCGGGTGGTGGCGGGTTTAACGACACATTCATATTTATGCGATCACACCCAAACACCTCTATTCTGGATAATATTGATAGCGAAAGCCCTAACGCGTGTTAAATAAAACGCCACCCACCTTCCTCTGACAAAAACGGCATTTAAAAGTCACACGGCGTGTAAAGTTGAAGGAAGGGGATCACCATCAACAAGTGGCAGGTCGCCCTCCTCTCAACTCAACGTTGTAAACTTTTATCAGGGCATCGTTCTCTCCCGGCCTGGCTCCGCTGTGTATCGTTTGAATTCCCCCCATAATCCTTGTGGGTCGCGTCTGAGCCGCCGCTTCTCGTGCTGTGTGATGTTCCAGCCGTTACGGACGTAGTTTAGCATTTATTTACACGCGATATACATTAACAAAAATGTAATCATTTATCGTAACTCGTATATAAGAATGGAGGGGGGGGCAAAAATATTGCCAAACAATACTCCACTCTAATAATCTCAAGAGTTTCAACGAGACAACTTTATTCTATTAGACAGCATTTGAAAGCTGCGTAGGATATTACTTTAATGAATACGAGTATGTGTATATGTATATGGAGAGCACAATGTACATTTTTCAAGCAATGTTATTTTGACATTATGTAACGCGCTCTGCTAAACCCTCTACAAGTCTCATTACCCTCAGCTGTGATCCAGAAGTCACGTGCGGGTTTAAAAAAAACTTTACAACTCTTTTAAAACACCCATCATTATGGCATTATATAAACAACTGGACTGGTTTTGGGGGGGGAAACGATTTAAAGTAAAGAACTGTATAGTAGTTATGAAAGGTATTCTTTGACGAAAGCCATACATACACCTTTAAAAACACAATTACAGTATATGTTGGGTATCCAAGTAGTTTTTTATTTTGCAAAGAATTCCTTCTATTTTCTTTTACTGAATCAGCTATATTTTAACAGTAGACCAGGCTTTATATTTAAATTATAAACATGATGATTTGGTTGATTAAACATTTCTTAGAATCAAGATACAGCAACTGCACGTGTGTTAGTCTCACTTTTTTTTGTACAGTTAAGTAAATATTACTAAAAAAAACAGATAACACATTTACTCACTCTGAGTGATGGGAGCTCCTCCCTGGATTTTTCACCATCTGCAGCTGGGAAGGTCATGAAATCCATGCCGGACATCATGCTGCTGCCATCCTCCACAGGAGCCACATTGTGGCCCTTAAAGTTCTGAGTCCTGGCGCCGAGGTCGGAGGTTAAATGTGGCGAGACGAACTGCGTCATCGACTGCCTCGTTGCGAAGTAACCTCGTGCGGCGCTCTGCGCCGTCAAAACGTTCTTGAGGACGGTTTTTGACGCGGAGCCCTCAAGCTGTCGAAGGCTTACCCCGTGCTCTGAACCGGACGATCCAGATCCCCGAGTCGCGAGTAGATTGTTTAAAGACCTCGCGCTGAGCTTGTTTGACTGCAGGCTTAAGCCGTTACCTGTCAGATCGCACGGCTTCTCGCTCTTAACAGGCGCGACCAAGGAGAAGCCAGATGTGGCCCATGTGGCGAGCAGATTGGTATAGAGTGCCGAATGCTCGGACTTGATAGCGCTCTCTGGCCCGACTGCAACCGGTGACACCTGACTCATGCAAATGACATGCAGGGGAACTTTTCGGAAATGTTCTTCAAGGGAGGGCGCATCTTCAGCAACAAAATCGCAGTGTTGGCATTTCATGACGCCGTGGATTTTTCTGCAGGCGCAAAAAAAAAACAGCACATATATATAGAAACAAAATCCATACGTACAATTTAAAATGTACAGCGCAGCAAGCCGTGAGGCTTTTAACATGTAACCATGTAGTGTATTGTGATACAGCTATAGCCCGTGACAAAAGAGGGCTCAGCTCATATTTTTAAAAGGTGCGAGTTCAAATGCTGGCTGGAGGTTGACGTAGTCCATCGTCCATCGGTCTGCTGTCTATAAAGTGAGCCCTACCTTGTCAAACATATACAACGGTTGTCCTACCATGTAGAAATGGGGTATTTACACAACTTCCTCCTGGAGAAGGAATCCGTCCTCCCAATGATCGTATAGAAACGTTTCCTTGACAAAGTAGCAGTTACCAACGTTTGTATTCCTGTACTTGTACGCAGTCATGGTAGTCCTCGAGCCAAATACCGTATATTTCAATTATCAGTACCACCAGAGGTGGCGTGACCTTTGCGGCTCCAATTTCTTTATGTGGGCAATAACGATGAATTATGTGATAACCGTTTGAAACGAGTGGGTTCTCAAATAATTCACTCTTTTCGGCCATGTAAATACATCAGAATGACGAACGTTTTGCTACCTTAGGTGGTATTGATTTTGCTCTGGCCCACAAACTGCGTAGGGGAGGGGGGCGCAGTGGGTCAGTGGTTACAGCACTGCACTATTAACCCGGTGACCTGAGTTCGATTCCTAGCTGCAGCTAACACTGGTGATGAATGACAGCTGAACCAGTCATGAGACCTGCACTGACGGTATGGTCAAAACAAAACCCATAATCTGCATGGCATGAGGAGCTGTGACTAAAGGCTTAAGTTACATTTGACTGACTGTGCAATAAATGTAGACACCTATGGAGAGACTTGTCCTGGCCATAGTAATGTATAATTTCCACCGTTGGCTCAAGACCACCAACAGAGATGCGCATCACCCACAATCCAGCTGATTTGATCTAAACCTCTTTTGGGCATACATTATGAAAGTCATGAGACATCCCACATCAGTAAAAGTGTGGAGGTGATGTGTCTACCAAATCTTCCAAATACTTATTACACATATATTTGATCAAACATGGCTAAATTAACAATCCGTTTATCGACAGGAGGCATAACTCGTTACAATTACTTTGAACAGGTAGGTAACCCATAGTAGGTAATGTCTGCCCATATACCTTATTCACATTTTCGCATGCCAACAGAATGGCTTCATATACTCCTTCCTGTTTTGACAGCTTCAACGATAGCATTTTATTTACAATATTCTCATTCGTGTAATATCGCATGTGATTTATTTGCCGTATATTCCAGTGACAAAAGAAAAACGTACATTGGTGTGTCGCGTGGGATGACAGCAACAATGTCTGCATTCAACGTGTAAAGTATATCGTTTTATCCCTTGAACTGCAGCGCTCATATTTCACCATCACAGTTAATCGAGGTGTACGATATGTAAAAAGTTGCATATACGGATCTAACGGCTTAGTGACGACAGACATTTTATAACCCCTACCGTTACTCCCCCACGTGGGTTTCGTGCTCAACTTTTTCCTCCATGAACGGTTAATTATTAATTTAAAAAGCATGCATAATCATGCACTACTACAATACCAAGCTATGTGGCATGTGGGCAAAGGGTCAACAGAAAATAAACCGCACTTGAAGGGTGATACTGTTAGCGGATGTGACCAACCTGCAATGCCGAGCAAGTCCCTCCTCGGTGGGCGATGTAAATATACATTTTGTGCACTGATATGAAGTGTCACGACGTTCGTCATGCACGGAGATTTCCAGCGGTTGGTCCGGGCAGGTCTCCTGATTAAGACCATCTTTGCCCTCCGGCAGCGCGGTGTGTGTTGGCGTCGCGGTTCTGGAGTCTCCTCGCCCGGGGCCTTTTATAACGGACGAGCTACCGTCGGCGAGCCAGCCTTGACCATCCGTCACCGGAACAACTTCATCCATCACGGCCCCCTCCGTCGCTTCCTCCTGTTTCTCAGGAGACGGTCCTGAAAACGTATCGCCGTGGATTTCACGGTAGTGGCACATCAACTTCTCACCGTCGCCGCCCTCGCAGGCAAAACTACACGACCTGCACTGGAGACGCCGAAGTGAATCGTCGCTCTGCTCGGCGGCGGCACTGGATGTGGCACCTGCAGCGGGCAGCTGCGATAAACCCTGACCTTCAGATGCCGACTCTTGCTCAACATTTTCACCACGCGCATTTTGACTCGCCGCAACGGGACCATCCAAAATCTGCCCGTCGGCGTCTGCGGCTGCGTTGCTTCTCCTGTGGTCATCGTTGGGATTTTCGGCGGACAACTTCAGCTTGCTGGGATGCACAGAGAGGGCATGGCTCTCCAGCTCTGCCGAGGCGCTCCCAATGTACGTGAAGTTGCAGAACTTGCACCTGAAGTATTTTGTGTCGCCCTGGCAATCCGGAGTCTTCCGCCCAATACCGATAAGGGTGCCCTGTATCGCCACCTTCAGGGATAATAATGCATATGCATTGTTAACGCAAGAACAGTATACAACATTTTGCCTAAACTTGTCTACTGAAAAATCTATATACTTTTATGGTCAGCAGCACAAGGAGAGTGTGGAAGATAAATGCATTCACAATCTGATGGTTCAAATCATACAAGGGAAATTACTCTGCCGCTCATCCTTTTTGCGGTAGTTAAAATTAGTACAACTTTGTGCAAAGTTAACATTGGTTGACCTTATACCCTGGATCCTAGCAGAGGATGCTAGTCCCAACCAGGAAGCTACCTGTGAGCCCAGTCTTCTAAAAACTGAGATATCCCATTGGTTCAAATATGAGTAAGGAAATATTTCAAACATTTAAACTACAGTATATCGAAAATTCACTTTAAAGGCTGAGACAATATAAATTGCTGTACTGTCATAATAATTCATTTTCTACACACTCGTGTAAATTCGTTTCACTTTTTTACCACTAAACATTCATCATACCCACGTAAAGATAGCAATTGTCTGGAAAGCATGCATCTTTAAAATCTCTTTCAGGGGGATCCTGAAGAGAATATTGGGCCAATTCCTTAGCGAGTACTGTGCTTAAGGGAGTAAAACAGAGTACCATATACCTGGAGCACACGTTCACAGGGGAGGATAACACAAAACTATCTTTCGTCTGCGTGCACTACCATCTCATCAGCCAAAATGTTGCAGGTAGGTGCCCCGCACACTGTATATGTCTGCATTACTCACCAACCACTGCCACAAAAGTAGTGTATTACCGGCATGCCCCATCATGCCAGTTATAATTCCTAGTGCTGATCGGGGTGGAGAGGCGGGGGGACAATGGCAGCAGCTGCTTTGCGTTTACTCACCTGCACATCGTAGGAACCATTCGAGGACGAGGTGGTCGTCTTCTGGATGACTGCAATCTTCAGTTTATCGGCGTGGCCAGCGAGCCCCAACATTTCGCTCGTCTCCGACAGGCGGCCCGTGCGGTGCAGCGCCAGGATTCGGCTATCCAGGTCCGCGTCGTGCCGCGTGCGGTTGTGCAGCCCGAGGTGGTATTTGCGAAAGTGCTTCACGAGGTCAGTAGGATCGTTGCCATAGTAACTGTAGCCACAGGCACTGCAAGTGAAGTCTTGCAGCTCCGGCGTTGGGGAGGTGCCAACATCGTCCGCCTTTACCGTGATCTTGACACCGTCGTTGTCAGGGGACTTTGGGGAAGGCCGTTGACCAACCTCGTCGGCTTCGTCATCTTTGCCGGCGGTAGTTACTTTGCATGATGTGTCAGTGGTGGAGTCTGGCTCGCTCTTTCTTTGAGTGTCGTTGGCGGCGATTTCTGCCTGTTCAGAGTCATTCACTCCACCGTCTGAAGTTAACTTCTCTTGTGTTTGTTTTGTACATTCAGGGCTGTATGTTTTGCAGAAAGCAGCGACCTCTTCATGCTTCACTGGCGGACAATTGCCCGTACTGTCCTCTCTTTTCATCTCGGCTTGACCAATAAAAAAATCACAAGTCTTTGGCAAACAGGTCTCTGCCGCAACACACAGAAGACTTGTTTCCATCATGGCTGCTTGGGAATCCCCCTCTGGGCCTGCCTTGGGATTAATCTGCTTCTGTTGTGCTCTCTTGGAATTCACAAGTCTTGACCTCAGTTGTCCATCCACCCCGGCGGTTGTAGTCCCCTTTAAACTTGTGCGTATCTTGGTTCTCTCTGAACTTGCGGCTTCAGTAGTTGATGCATCCAACACATTTCTTAATGGGAGATTCTTTCTGCGAACCATTCCTAGAAATGTAAAACAAAAAAGAAATGAGAATTAGCTCTGACTATACACAATCGATGTTGGTACCTCTGCTCAAACAAGCTAAAGGGTGGCCGCTCCTCTCAGTTAGGAGCCAAAAGCCACTGTTGGAAAATCCATATTCTCATGGCAGGGGCCAGTCTTTCTCGATCGGAAGACCACTGGCAACTTCACACGCAGCGGCATTTTTGTTGTATCAACCCTAGAGGGTTATCTTATGAAAATGAAACGACAGTACAGTCCTGCAAATCCTTAAACTACGCTGGATTAAAAATTCATTAAACATGTAATTCCAGCCTCGTATTTCATGGCATTTGTCCTCAACTGATTGAATTTAATTTCTTAATGTATTTTACAGATGATATTAAACATCACCACACTATCAATATGGTTAAATATGCAGTATTTTTATAATTTTACAATGCTTTTACTTTTGCCTTTGGTCCCTGTGGTTATGGATCTAATAATTTAAACCGATTCATTAATTAATTTCTAACACAACAACAGTATTATAAAGTTTTAGTACTCAATGTATTACACACAGTACCTGAAAATGTACAATTCAATGCCAGCACTTGATACCAATATTTCCTGTTGGGGTACCCACAAAACTATACTGTGCGTGCACTTTTAAGACTGCGACTTTTCCATCAAAGTCTAAACTCGTATGGTGAAACGTATATTAGTGGTAACAAATACATAGGCTGTATATACAGTGCGAAAATAACTTTTTGCTCATGGCTAAATATTTTAATTACAACGGTGGCATTTTTCAATTTTACAATTAAATAACACTGCAGTAATGGGCCAAACATATTTCCTGATATGTTTTAATTTGCGTACTGCAGTGTGATACTTTGGCCATTAAACAGCGAAATATGTAAGTGAATCATCACGGAGTCTGGTTCGTGAACGTAAATAATTAAACAAGCCTAAGCGTGATGAATATAAGCTTTCTGCAATGGTCAATTGTCCTTCAGCCCTGCAATGTTTCCCAATAGACGGGAGCCACCACCACTAAAAACCCAAGACACATGAAAGCATGCCTCTCTCACGGTCACCCTAACAACCACACGTGTCACTTCTGGAGGCTCACAGCATTCACTAACTAGAGACAATAAATCACGTGCTTTTTACTTGACGCGCTTGTATCAGAGTTCAAAAAACACTTGTGACAGCGTTTGCCAGTGTTGTATTGGACACGCAACAGGCGTGATCGAGACGTCTAAACCCAGCGTGTACAGGAATGTACTTGCCGCTGCATATAGAGACAGGACTGTCTGTACGCGTTAACTTTACACGGCGCACTTTTGAAAGCAACCTTGCAAACTTGAACATACGCTTCAAATTAACCACCGAAACTTATTCAACGGACATGATGCACAGGTTATACGAGTCGCGTTGCACTTGGTTAATTCACAAAAAAACGAGCGCAAGATACGAAGAGGTGCGTGCTTGGGTTTACAATTACGAAGAGAAAAGAGGAACACGTGGATTGGAGAACATACTCAGGGTTTTTGTTTGTTGGTAAAGACATCATCCACGCTGCCAAGGAAAGTAAACGATAATAGCGAAGTGGCAGCCAGGGAGTGGACGGTAAGCGTCCGAAAAACTCGTCCACCAAAGAGATGGAACGATCGTATCACACAGCTCTTGTGCACGCGTTAAGAGCTACATTATTACATCGCAGAATTGTGAATGGCAGCGGACCTTTGTCCAGCAGAGGATAGACCAAGGCTGATGATTATTATTATTTTAAACGCTCCACGCATACACGCACATCCGATTAGCACGGTTGGCTACGTAGGGTGCGAAAGAAGTTCATAACACAGTACTAACTACATACAAGGACCCACACACCAGGACCCCCACACCAGGACCCCCACACACACACGTCAAACGCCATCATCGTTCAGCCGCGGTCAGTCCACTGCTGGACGAAGCCCTCTCTAAACTGCCGCAACCTCCCACCACCCCGGCGATGTTCAACAATCCACCCATTCCCACTGGCACTTTGTAGTGCCACCAGCTGCAACGTCGTCGCCGTTCTTCCATCGGCCTCCGTGGCCGTGATCTCGGCGGACGGATTCTGTCGCTGCGTGCGAATAAATGAATCGTGTCTGGCAGATGATGCACACTGCTCGACGCGTCCGCACCACTGCAGGAAGCCTCTCTCTCTCTCTCCACACACGACTCCAAGTTGATGCTGCTACACTCAACGAGCCTCCGCTACACAAAACCATATCAACAGCGCACAGCAGATGGATTGACACGTCCAGACGTCGTTAACACGACGAGACGCGTTCTCTACCCCCGACTGGATGAATGCGCGCCTAAGTAGATGTGCGTGTACAGATGTGTGAACTCGATAGCACCACTTGCCACAAACGTATGTGATTATCGCACGGTTGGCTACGTACGGTGCGAAAGAAGTTCGACCTGCATGCACGTGTGTTGATGCGTGTGGCCCCCCACCGCCTCGTGCGCCGTGCCGGCCTTCACAGGTGCTCGCTGGCAGCACTTGCCCCAATAGTCTGTTTAAAGACTATACGGGGGATCTTTGTCTTTGTAGACGGGGGAGCGATTGTGTCGTGGTTAGGACGGAACTCTACGAACTCGGCGACCCCAGTTCGATGCCCGCTCACGGACAAACACCGACGACGATTATCTGGGCCACCCCTAGGTAGACTCAGCCTAAAATTAGTACCCGGTGCGATTTTTAAATATCGCCACTGGGGAGATAAAGGCGGTCGGGCGTGGTACTGCTGGCGACATCACCCCCTCGTGTGCTTCACAGATGCTTGCCTTAACATTCTGTTACAAGCTTTGTCGATGTGTGTGTGTAGGTGTGGATGTGTGTGTGTGTAGATGTCTTTGTAGATGTGTGTGTGTAGATATTTGTAGATGTCTTTGTAGATGTGTGTAGATATTTGTAGATGTGCGTGTAGATGTTTGTAGATGTGTGTGTAGATGTATTTGTAGATGTGTGTGTAGATCTTTGTAGATGTGTGTAGATGTGTGTAGATGTGTGTGTAGATATTTCTAGATGTCTTTGTAGATGTGTGTAGATATTTGTAGATGTGTGTGTGTGTAGATGTGTATGGGTGTAGATGTGTGTGTGTGTAGGTGTCTTTGTAGATGTGTGTGTAGATATTTCTAGATGTCGTTGTAGATGTGTGTAGATATTTGTAGATGTGTGTGTAGATGTGTGTGTGTAGATATTTGTAGATGTGTGTAGATGTGTGTGTGTAGGTGTGTGTGTAGATGTGTGTTTAGATATTTGTAGATGTCTTTGTAGATGTGTGTGTAGATATTTGTAGATGTGTGTGTAGATGTGTGTGTGTGTAGATATTTGTAGATGTGTGTAGATGTGTGTGTGTAGGTGTGTGTGTAGATGTGTGTTTAGATATTTGTAGATGTCTTTGTAGATGTGTGTGTGTAGGTGTGTGTATAGATGTGTGTTTAGATATTTGTAGATGTCTTTGTAGATGTGTGTGTGTAGGTGTGTGTAGATGTGTGTGTGTAGGTGTGTGTAGATGTGTGTAGATGTGTGTGTAGATGTCACTGGGTCTCATCATCAACAATGGGCATGGGGCAGCACGCGGCCCCATGTCCAAATACAGTAACGTGGCTACGCGTCTCAGGTTCACAAGGAGGGGAACTCGACACACGCAGCTCTTACAAACAAGCCGGTTGTCAAATGTAATATATATGAAAGAGACGGCTTCGACGGCGAGCAACACAACAACACAAAAGGAAGACTTTGTTTAAAACGGTAGTTGGGTAGTTAGTGGTGGTGTCAGCTGGTGAAGGTTGAGTTGAGGCTGCCCTCGACTGTGTGCGCGACTCACAACCACCCCACACACAACCACCCCCACAGAACCACCCCCACATAACCACCCCCACACACAACCACCCCCACACACAACCACCCCCACACAACCACCCCCACACACAACCACCCCCACAGAACCACCCCCACAGAACCACCCCCACTCACAACCACCCCACACACAACCACCCCCACAGAACCACCCCCACATAACCACCCCCACTCACAACCACCCCATACACAACCACCCCCACACAACCACCCCACACAAACAACCACCCCCACACACAACCACCCCCACACACACCACCCCCACAGAACCACCCCCACACACAACCACCCCCACAGAACCACCTCCACACAACCACCCCCACACAACCACCCCATACACAACCACCCCATACACAACCACCCCATACACAACCACCCCACACACAACCACCCCATACACAACCACCCCCACACAACCACCCCCACACAACCACCCCCATACACAACCACCCCCACACACAACCACCCCCACACAACCACCCCATACACAACCACCCCATACACAACCACCCCCACACACAACCACCCCACACACAACCACCCCACACACAACACCCCCACACACCACCCACACACAACCACCCCCACACACAACCACCCCACACACAACCACCCCATACACAACCACCCATACACACCACCAGACACACACCCCCACACAACCACCCCACACAACCACCCCACACACAACAACCCCCACACACAACCACCCCCACACAACCACCCCAAAAACAACCACCCCCCCACACAACCACCCCCACACAACCACCCCACACACAACCACCCCCCACACAACCACCCCCACACAACCACCCCACACAACCACCCCACACACACCAACCCCCACACACAACCACCCCCCACACACAACCACCCCCACACAACCACCCCATACACAACCACCCCCACACAACCACCCCATACACAACCACCCCATACACAACCACCCCACACAACCACCCCCACACACCAACACCCCACCACACAACCACCCCATACACAACCACCCCCACACACAACCACCCCCACACAACCACCCCATACACAACCACCCCACACACAACCACCCCCACACACAACCACCCCCACACAACCACCCCCACACACAACCACCCCACACACACCCCCCCACACAACCACCCCCACACACAACCACCCCCACACACAACCACCCCCACACAACCACCCCATACACAACCCCCCCACACAACCACCCCACACAACCACCCCACCACACAACCATCCCCACACACAACCACCCCATACACAACCACCCCACACAACCACCCCATACACAACCACCCCCACACAACCACCCCATACACAACCATCCCCACACACAACCACCCCAACACAACCACCCCATACACAACACCCCCACACAACCACCCCACACAACCATCCCCACACACAACCACCCCAACACAACCACCCCATACACAACCACCCCCACACAACCACCCCATACACACCCACCCATACACAACCATGCCCCACACAACCACCCCAACACAACCACCCCATACACAACCATCCCCACACACACAACCCCCACCAACCCCCAACACAACCACCCCATACACAACACCCACACAACCCCCATACACAACCACCCCCACCAACCACCCATACACAACCACCCCATACACAACCATCCCACCACACCCACCCCACACAACCACCCCATACACAACCATCCCCACACACAACCACCCCACACACACCACCCCATACACACCACCCCATACACAACCACCCCACACAACCACCCCAACACAACCACCCCATACACAACCACCCCACACACAACCACCCCCACACAACCACCCATACACAACCACCCCCACACAACCACCCCACACACAACCATCCCCACACACAACCACCCCAACACAACCACCCCTACACAACCACCCCCACACAACCACCCCATACACAACCACCCCATACACAACCACCCCATACACAACCACCCCCACAACACCCCACACAACCACACCCCCACACACCACCCCTACACAACCACCCCCACACAACCACACCCTACACAACCACCCCCACACAACCACCCCATACACACCACCCATACAAACCCCATACACAACACCCATACCAACCCACCCCACACAACCCACACACCACCCCACACAACCACCCCCCACACCCCCCCACACAACCACCCCCACACAACCACCCCCACACACAACCACCCCACACAACCACCCCCACACAACCACCCCCACACAACCACCCCCACACAACCACCCCAATACAACTCCACATCCACTCTAACACTCCTACGACTGGACATCCACATCCCCTAACCTCATCGATTACTACCTCATACTTACGACTACGTACAAGCACGGTACTACAACCACACAGTCAACACTTACTATTGTACAACCTTCCTACACCTATCCCGCTTCTACAACCGCTCCACATCTACTCCACCACATCCACGACTACACCACCACCACATCTAAAACCACACCACCACCACCATGTCTACAACCACCACCACGTCTACAACCATCACCACCACCACGTCTACAACCACCACCACCACCACGTCTACAACCATCACCACCACCACGTCTACAACAACCACCACCACCACCACCACGTCTACAACCACCACCACCACCACGTCTACAACCACCACCACCACCACGTCTACAACCATCACCACCACCACGTCTACAACAACCATCACCACCACCACGTCTACAACCACCACCACCACCACGTCTACAACCATCACCACCACTACGTCTACAACCACACCACGTCTACAACCACCACCACATCTAAAACCACACCACATCCACAACCACACCACCACATCCACAACAACACCACCACCACATCTACAACCACCACAACCACACCACCACCACGTCTACAACCACCACCACCACAACCACACCACCACCACCACCACTCCGAGACGCAGCGACTGAGCTGCGCCGAGGCCGCTCTCGAACCAAGTCACCTCAAGTCTCACGAGTGTGGCACCATCGCCTCCAACCTCCCTCTACCCACCCCTATAACCACCCACCCCTATAACCACCTACCCCTATAACCACCTAATCCTATAACCACCTACCCCTCGACTCATCCACCCCTATAACCACCTACCCCTATAACCACCTACCCCTCGACTCACCCACCCCTATAACCACCTACCCCTCGACTCATCCACTCCAATAACCACCCACCCCTATAACCACCTACCCCTCGACTCATCCACCCTATAACCACCCACCCCTTCTACCCACACGACCCTCTGCCTCTCCAACGTCCAGCGCCTCCTTCCTCGCCCGAGTGGGACACCGGCTCCACGCGAGCCTGCGCTCCCGGTAACCCCGGACTCCCCTCCCCAGCCACCTCGACCTTCCATCTCCCACTACCACCATCATCATCACCCCCCACTACCACCATCATCATCACCCCCCACCACCATCATCATCATCACCCACCACCACCATCATCATCATCACCCCCCACCACCATCATCATCATCACCCACCACCATCATCATCACCCCCCCCACCATCATCATCATCATCACCCACCATCATCACCCCCCATCATCATCATCATCACCCCCCACCATCACAAGCGATCATCGCCATCCGTCTCTCTACTCGCCAATCCCACGCCCGCACCTCCTCACGGGTTCAGCAAGTTCCCACTCAACACAGTCCCCGGCTGCGTCTCTCTCTCTTCATCATCATCATCCCAGAGCACAACGAGTAACCACGAACCGGTTACCAGCAGCCCTGCTGCTACGACGGCCCCACGTCGCTCGCTCTTCACTCCTCGTCCGTCCGTCGGCACCACCTACGGGACGGACGGGTGGGGACATCCTCGGCCAGCCGAGGATGTCCCCACTGCGTTGGTGGCGGTGTCCCTGTCCGCTCCGGGGCCTGTCTCACCCCTCACCTGTGCGGTGCTCTGTCCATCCCTCACCTGTCAGCTGCTGTGTCCATCTCTCACCTGTCAGCTGCTCTGCCCATCCCTCACCTGTCAGCTGCTCTGCCCACCCCTCACCTGAGGTGCTCTGCCCGTCTCTCACCTGTGATCTGCTCTGCCGACCCCTCACCTGAGGTGCTGTGCTCACCCCTCACCTGTCAGCTGCTCTGCCCATCTCTCACCTGTGATCTGCTCTGCCCACCCGTCACCTGAGGTGCTGTGCTCACCCCTCACCTGTGAGATGCTCTGTTCATCTCTCACCTGTCAGCTGCTCTGCCCACCCCTCACCTGTGAGATGCTCTGTTCATCTCTCACCTGTCAGCTGCTCTGCCCACCCCTCACCTGTGAGGTGCTCTGCTCGTCTCTCACCTGTGAGATGCTCTGCTCGTCTCTGCCCGGCGAGCGAGAGGAGTCGCGATTCGCCATAAATCCCGGCGGCTCCGCGCTGTGAAATCCTCTCCACCTCCTTCACCTCCTTCACCCGCGCTAACCGCCCAAGTCGCCGTGTCCTGGGGGGTTAGTGTGGTGGTGGTGGTGTTAGTGTGGTGGTGGTGTTAGTGTGGTGGTGGTGTTAGTGTGGTGGTGGTGTTAGAGTGGTGGTGTTAGTGTGGTGGTGCTGTGGTGTTAGTGTGGTGATGGTGGTGCACTGTCACTGGTGCTGTGTGTGCGGGGCTCTGTGTGTGGCACTGTACGTGTGTGCTGTGGATGCGGATCGTATGTCTGTGTGTGTATACGCTGTTACTGTACTGCGTGTACTTATAGGTGGACGTGTCCGCAGATCCTATATATTCTTTGTTTCGTGCACTCGGGTGTCTATGTATACGAGTATCCTGTATACCGTGTGTGTCCTGTGTGTGTGTATCCTCTGTGTGTGTGTATCCTCTGTGTGTGTGTCCTGTGTGTGTGTGTCTTGTGTGTGTGTCTTGTGTGTGTGTCTTGTGTGTGTGTATCCTGTATGTGCCCTGTGTGTGTATGCCTGTATGTGTGTGTATCCTCTGTGTGTGTGTATGCTCTGTGTGTGTGTATCCTCTGTGTGTGTGTATCCTCTGTGTGTGTCGTGTGTGTGTGTATCCTCTGTGTGTGTCGTGTGTGTGTGTATCCTCTGTGTGTGTCGTGTGTGTGTGTGTATCCTCTGTGTGTGTCGTGTGTGTGTGTATCCTCTGTGTGTGTCGTGTGTGTGTGTATCCTCTGTGTGTGTGTATCCTCTGTGTGTGTCGTGTGTGTATCCTCTGTGTGTGTGTGAACTGTGTTGATCTCGGTCACGACCGCCCTCCGTGTCTCGCAGCGCTCCCGGGGTTTTGCTATCCGATTGATGATGGTGGTGGTAGTGGTGGTAGTGGTGGTGGTAGTGGTGGTAGTGGTGGTGGTAGTGGTGGTGGTAGCGGTGGTGATTGACGGTGCTCTCTCTCTGCGTGTCTGTGTGCGTCTGCGGCTACTCCATGGCGCTACTCAGCGCTCTGCCCCAGCTCCCTCGCTCGCACGACTCCCTCCCGCGCCCCGCTCGCTCGCTCGCCTGTGCGAGCTTTTATCTGCAGCCCTTATCACTTGTCAGGACCCCCTCGTAACACGTCACCGGAGAGACGCGCCCTCGCTCCGCCCGCCAGAGCCTCACGCACTCGGCACGCATCCGCTCTCTTATCACCCCTCCCCCTCCTCCTGCTGCCCCCCCCTCCCTCTCTCTCTTATCACCCCTCCCCCTCCTCCTGCTGCCCCCCCCTCCCTCTCTCTCTTATCACCCCTCCCCCTCCTCCTGCTGCCCCCCCCCCCCTCTCTCTCTTATCACCCCTCCCCCTCCTCCTGCTGCCCTCCCCCCTCTCTCTCTTATCACCCCTCCCCCTCCTCCTGCTGCCCCCCCCTCCCTCTCTCTCTTATCACCCCTCCCCCTCCTCCTGCTGCCCCCCCCCCCCCTCTCTCTCTTATCACCCCTCCCCCTCCTCCTGCTGCCCTCCCCCTTCTCTCTCTTATCACCCCTCCCCCTCCTCCTGCTGCCCTCCCCCTCTCTCTCTCTTATCACCCCTCCCCCTCCTCCTGCTGCCCTCCCCCCCCCTCTCTCTCTTATCACCCCTCCCCCTCCTCCTGCTGCCCTCCCCCCCCTCTCTCTCTTATCACCCCTCTCCCCTCCTCCTGCTGCCCTCCCCCTCCCTCTCTCTTATCACCCCTCCCCCTCCTCCTGCTGCCCTCCCCCTCCCTCTCTCTTATCACCCCTCCCCCTCCTCCTGCTGCCCTCCCCCTCCCTCTCTCTTATCACCCCTCCCCCTCCTCCTGCTGCCCTCCCCCTCCCTCTCTCTTATCACCCCTCCCCCTCCTCCTGCTGCCCTCCCCCTCCCTCTCTCTTATCACCCCTCCCCCTCCTCCTGCTGCCCTCCCCCTCCCCCTCTCTCTTATCACCCCTCCTCCTGCTTTCTCCCTCTCCCCTCTGTCTATTATTACCCCTTCTCCTCCCCTCTGCCCCCCCTCTCTCTCTTATCACACCCCCACCCCCTCCACCTCCTCCCCTGCCTGCCTCCCCCCTCTCTCTCTCTCTTCCAGTCTCAGCGCCACTCATCACCAGCACCACAACACTCGTCACCATTATTCCAGAGATTCGTTTTATCCACACCCCTTCCACTCCTCCTCCACCCCACCACCCTCACATCCACTGGAGCTGTCCCCCACGGAGCTGTCCCCCACCACCCTCCTCCCCCTGGGGAAATGTTTTCCGGCGCTCAGCCTCAGACAGCTCCTGCTGCTGAAATAAAATCCTGATGGCCACGATAATGGATTTTGTTTTTTAAATGCCCCCTCCCCCCTGTTTAAACCACCGTGCTTACATGTCTCGTCTGTTAAGGAGACTAAACAACACGCCAACGCCACGTTCAAAAATAGACACCATCCATGTTCCTGCCGTTCACTATTTCGCCGCGTGAAATCGAAGGTGCACGCGCACAGAGTTGCACGGCAATGTATTCTCGGTTGTAACATACCGCATGCGATGTTTTAGGTAGTAGCTTATTTAACATCGTCCAATACAGCGTTGGTGTCTCCCTTGCACATTGCCAATGTCACCGTTGTGAGGTTGGGGGATAACATACAGAGAGAGGGGCGTTGATGTAAATCGTTTTACTCTGTTTGTCAGTCATGAAATGACCGGCCTACTCAAGCCACCCGTGATGATGCCGTGTTCTTGAGTGCAACGAGTCGATGGTTGCAGCCAACGATGACTGTGCAAAGAAGTGGCCATTGGATTGCTGTTTCGACTGATATCAGCTCAGTCCAGCCCGGATAATTAACAAAAAAACTTAACATGCGACAAGCCACGTTTGTAGATCGTACTCATGCAAGGCGTGTCACTCGTCCGTACCGAGAGGCGCCGTGAAAGCTGCGAGATGAGTTCTGTACCCACACCGGGTGGCGTTCAGCCCGGCTGCGCGAACTCCAAATGTGAATCTGTATTTCTCATGGCACCGACACGCAACTGGACTGCAATTGGACTGCAACTGAAGGACCGTCAATGGTAATGTTCATGCAGATAATGCCAGCTTTGCGATTCATATTTTCTGAGTGTTATTTTCTTTATTATATTTCACCTTTGCATATATAGTGTAAACAACATTGGCTTTAGCTCTACCTTTATGTGTATCTCTTTTCCTGTGCTAAATGCAACCCAAACTTTCAGATATAATAAAGTAGTGATTTAAATGTGATTTGTTTTATTGCGATCTCATTCCGCTTCATAATGCTGCAAAAATACACAGCCAATTATTCCATAAAGCGGTCTCCAACTTTCACTGACATGTAGCTTCATATACATTCTGTAATTTGACATTTGCTTGAATTAAATTGCAATGACTGCATTTACAAATAGTATCTGGAATTATCGAGTGTGTTTAAGGAATGCAATAGTATTTTATGTTTTCTCCCCACAACGTCCCACCTCAACTATCTTCCCAAAAGAGTATTCACAATTTAAATGGCCCTTATATCATCAATGCACAATAAGTGACTATATCCAGTTTACAATTGTTAAATTTCATATGGACTCATTGTTGTATTCTTGTTGAAGGCGAGTTTTTCAAATTAGGCTTACTTTTACAATTTCCTTTGTATTTGTAAAAAAAATGTAAGGTTGTATCTCGCGAGGATTTAAATATATAACCAAATATGGATTGAATTTAATGTTATTATGGAACAGCTCAATCACAATAACCTGATCTCTACAAACCCAGAGTACACTAATCGCGTGTCGCAACTACGTTTTTCTTCAAAGGTTACAAATGTGAGGTTGTGATTGTGACTGATTTAGCTCAATTACTTTTTTCGCTTTGAAAAAAAATCAGGTATTTGACTAGAAAATACTTTATTCAATTGCTTAGATTTGTTTTGAAAGTTACAAAAATTCAGGGAACTGAAAAAAATGCATTACGGTATACAAGGAGCACTTAAAGTGTAGCGGAATATCATATTAATGATTTCCCCTGGACTTGCTTAGGTGCACTTGACGTATTTATATCGACGATATATTTGCTGTTCCCTTGTGCAAAATGCAGTTGAGTAAGGGAGTACAGTATATCACCATCGGTCAAACACATTTCCGAACAAATGTGCGTTTCATAGTGTACTCGACGACAATGATCCGATGTACATAATTCACCAGTTCTTGGCCATCATTCGGGACTGAGACTTCCAACATCTACATCATGTCTATTGCAGGCCAGAAGGAGCACCCAGAGAATATGACATCCATAAATTACCGGGAAACTAACACGTTGAAACCGTAGTCTCTGTTACGGGTTTAGGTCTATATTTTCACGTCAAATTAACATCCACAGGGACATTCTGCTTTCTTTTTCAGATAGAAGCCCCTAGGTAACTTGCTTTAGACCCAGGAAACCGTGTCATTTTACACATTCGCTAGTTGAGTGCAGAGTATGTCGAGGAGTAACAGTGATGCTGGGGTATATTGGTGGTTCAATGGTTAGCTCATTGCACTAGGAACCCGGCCACTTGAGTTAATTTTGCTGGCCATGCATCACATCAGTGGCGAGGGACATCTGAACCAGTGCAGGGCCCACCTCTTAACAAAGACCCCCCGTATAGCCTTAACATCCTGTTGGGGCAAGTGCTATTAGCAAGTAGCACCTATGAAGGCCGGCACGGTACATGAGGTGGGTGGCCAGCACCTTTGTCTCCCCAGTGATGATGTTCACACACTACACCAGGTACTCTTTTGATGCTGAGTCGACCTAGGGGAGGCCTAGGAACAATTACAATATTCGTCACTAACTGCTACCACTCCCATAATGAACTGGTGCTGACCGACGCGGTGAAGCATGGTCAAACAACCCCCATGAGCGAAATGTGTGGGGAAACCTTCATATGTCCAGTCGTGTACGTATTAACAAAGGACTGTGAAATCATTATTTCTCGATCAACAATCATTCTCAGCTGAGGTACGCTTAGGTGTACGTTTTTAGAATATGCTTCCATGTTAAATCACGGTGCATGACTTCCAAGGTGAATGTATTCCTGATTATATTATACATCAAGTAAACAAGTCAAATTCAAGTTGTCTCAATGTAAAAAAATAATACCCCAGGACTGATCTGGCAATGTGTTGCAGCTTCATCCAGCAGTGGATTAACAAAGGGTTGAAATTGTGTACGTATTATAAGCAATAGTAGATTACATTTTTTTAATTTGTATTTTCTCAAGTCACTCCTGTGGAACATACACTTCCCATTTAACTCTCACATGCTCCAGAAGAACTGATTGATTGCATTTCGATGTTAGATTTTAGCACAGATCATTAGGTTAAAAGAGTCAATAGCATTGGCTTTGGTTTTATTGGTCGGGCTCGAGTTGGCATTAAGGTACGCATTGATTTATTTATGCAGCCAGAGCAGTGTCTGGTTTGCAGATTGGTGTCGAAATTTACATTTTATAACGTATTTAGTTGAGCACTGGCAACATCAGCATAATACTACGAACAGTAATTTGTGAAGAAATGGGGTTCAGTTGAGTTTTTAAATAATAAATGTAAGTAACATAGCTGAAACATATGATAGGATTAAGCTTAAAATATCAACTAATCACTGCACGTTACCGCAAAACAAAGCGGTGCATTTTTTGTTCTGGTCATTATTTAGATAATTGCCATATTTATACTCGGGTAATTGCTCACAGTTGTCATAAACGAGTACGATACATTACAGTTTCGTAAATGAGCGTCTGACGATACTTGGAGGTGTTCTGCAGCCGTAAAATGTCCCTGGATATGGCGAGGTCCGAACAGGAGCGTAACGTCCAAAAATGCATCGCGTTACATGAATACCTTTAGAATGCCACCAGATACGCCGGCGATTATTCGAGCATTTGCCCCTCCTCAAATTGGCTACAGCGCACTGTGTTTCCTGAGACATATCCCTTAGATGTGTGCCTTTAAGATGTTTCTAGTAACAGTGGGATGTAGTCGATCATGCGGATGAGCTAATGCATTACTGAGTGCGGATACATTTTGTTAAGTGGA